ACTGCACGCCTCGGCTGAACTAGCAAGAGAACTTACCATATGATCAATGTGAGAAAAAAAGTCCACATAGGAATTGTAAAGTATTTGTCGGCGTGAAAGTAAAATAGAAGAAAATGCGTCGGCAGAAATAAAGACAAAAGACTCAAAGGAAGAATTCGCGGGAACGAAATTCAAAGAAGTGGAAAATTGCATAGTTGGGAGACAGGCGGACCTCCTGAGGGTGCTGACCGACGCGCAATTGGCAGCGAAAGATTGACCTCGGCGATCTAGCATGGCTCACTCTTGGCGCGGTTGGCGGGGTACGCCCACCGACTATCTAATCACTCGCCGCAGGTCTATACGTGGCGAGTGATTAGATAGCAGAGAGAGCGTAGTGTTGAAGAGGGCACAGCGATGAGAGTCGCATCAATGCGCAAATCAACGGGCAAGGAAGGGGTCCCATTTCTCGGGTTTCGGGCCGTTTCAAATGGTTTCTTCTTCATCCCTGCTCCACTGGCCACCTCTACCCTTATTTTCAAGAAGCTAAACATTTTAACGCAACTCTGCTTGCAAACCAAAATTTGGCCTGCAAGAAGCTATTTCGGAGATGAATTCGACCTGCAAAACAACCAGAAAGTTTCTGGGTCTTAACTGTCAGCGGCAGTGATCAGGGTCCACCGTCGCATTCGTATTTCGAATATTTTGCGATTCTCTCCCCACCCTCTTCCCTCCACCAGACGACACATTCCAACTCCGCCCACTTTTTACCCCCAAAACGGCCACCGAGCACGGTGCAGGTTGATGAGGAGGAGGTGGAATGGTGTCTATGAGATTTAAAGTTCTCTAACTTCATATTTGATCTCTGTTTCATGAAATTTTCGGAAAACTCGACTAAAACTCATCAAAAGTGACCAACTTTTATGATCCACAACCCCTACAACTTCCTCAAATACCACGCTTCATTCGCACTTTCCCAAGACCTGGTTAACTTTGTTCAGCCCCGAGAACGACCACCACCTCGGTATGAATTATTCGAACGGAAGGTTGACTGTTGGTTTGTAGCTCTCTGGGTGATGAGCAGCAATGTTCAGGTGGAGTGCAACCCACATCACTGAAGGTTAGGAATGAAAAATGACGAGAGAACAAGCGAATCCGTCTCTAATGTATACCACTCAGAACAATGTCTGCCTTCAGTTTATTCCAAGACAGAAGGCAAGTCAATTGAATATTCTCGACACAACATCGATGCTATAAGAAGAGGTGGGGCACTTGAGTACTGCATTCAGCCGAGCAACCATTCAAAGAGTCCCGCTACCTCGCCCCTTCCCCCAAACCTTCCACCATTAGCTGTTTATTATTTTTTACTCGATTTCAACCAGGTACATGGTCTGCTAGCCGTAATAGTTCATTGAATTATGGCGAGTTTTTAGAAAGTTGGAGGACAAGCAGCGGAACAGGGCTGTAACTTAGAACTTCACGAGTGTTGTTAAGCCATAAAAGTGACCTTTCTTGGTATGCGCCACGCATGAACGCGAATTGGCCGATAGAATAACTTGCAGGGGTCGGCTGATATGCGCATCAATTTTTTTGCGTCTTTAAACAAGTATACCATCAACCAGCGAAGTCCAGAGCCATAGAAGGCTTGGCTGGCCAGGACGGCAGACGATTCAGCACTTGATCCACGCACCGTTCGACTACGCCACTTCCGCCCCCCCCCCCAATACAGTATAATATTCTTTGGCCACTAAAATTCCAGGCTCTGGAGCCAGTTATGAAAGAGGCGGATCCCGTAGGGGTACGGGCCAGCACTCAATTCACAGCAAAGACATAGGCGATCTATCATGGCCGTTTCCGCTTCCCTACCGCCGCGGCACGCCCACCGACTGGCTAACCACTCGCCAAAGGTCTCGAGCGTTTAGCAGAGAGAGAGAGCGTTAGCGTTGAAGAGGGCAGCACCGATGAGAGTCGCATCAATGCGGAAATCAACGGGCAAGGAAGGGACCATTTCTCGGGTTCTGGCCGTTTCTCATGGTTTTTCTTCATTCTGGCACCACTGACCACCTTCTTTAATTCTGATAGGCTGCCTTCTAGTCGTATACTCCGTCTCTAAGTTTTCATATAATACGTGCAGATACATCTTTCTAGTAAAATAAGTGGAGTCAAAGCTTATAAGTGAGTATACACGCGTATCCATACGATAGTGCACTTTGTGCAGTTCTCGACCAGTAGGATTCGTTCTTCAATTTCAGTGATGTTATCACCATCAACACATGTGAAACGAAAAGCCAGTAGCAATGAATTTTATGAGGTTTGTTTGCAAAATTCAAGATTTTTCCAGTATATTTAAAAAAAAGCTTGAGCACATAGCGTGAATGCCACTTGGTGATTACTGCTGAGGCCAACCAGGCAGGTCTATTGAGACGCGTACTCTGTGTTCACTGGGGGTGGGGAATTGAAGGGACACAGGAATTGGCGACAATGCACCCACCGGTGGGTGCCACTATGACCGTCGCGTGGGACAATGGCACCCAATGGTGGGTGCCACCCTGAAATTTTCTTCTTTACCCATTTAAAACATTTTCAACATATCAGTAATTATAAGCAAGCTCCGTTACGCCTATGCATATTTTGCAGAAATGTTTGTTACTAGCTAATTTATATGAAATTTTAGGATATGGCACCTTCGCGTTTAACGGCAATAACAGATCACGACCTCTAGGTCGTTCTTTGGCAGGCGTGAGACATAAGCGGAACAGGCTTTGAATACTAATTCAGAGAATTCTACTGTAATTTGAACATTCTGGAGAGTCTTTCAAGCCATGCTTCTGAAAATTCCGGCAGACTTCATTTCCAGATATTCCACTTCTAATGTCCAACAGTTATATGATCATACATGTTCAGACTGGTCATTCCTACTTCTTCATGCTATAGTCGAAAATTTGATGATATCGAAAAACTGTTTGTGGATAGGAAAACTTCTGCCCATTTTGCTGTTGATAGGAGTCATGGGGGCTACGAGTGCGCCAAAAAAGAGGCGTGGTCCACGAGCACGCCTGGGGATGCAAATTCGCATTGGTCGCCAAAGGGTTAAGCGACTCAGAAGATGCCCAAGAAAAAGAATTGCGAAAACATCCATTCACAGTGATAACCAAATTTGCTTTCGTTTTCGGCACTCCTCGGAGGAGCAAGGGCTCTTTCCTGGATCTGATGCCCATGCAGCAAGAAAGGATGTTGATTAGCGGGATCCTTACCGTAAAAATCCTCACTCCTTTCCCCAGCACTGCGTATGACAGTTGGGATCACTAGAGACAGTACACAGGCAAAGTTTAGATTCAGATTTTCCTAAAGATTCACGTCCGAACGGAAACGTACTCAGCAAGAACCACACCTATGGAACAGTAGGAGGTAAGTCGCGCGCCAAGACGAGGAGCATGGAAAGTCCGCTTTTGGACAGCCAGCGTATCAGCGACGAAATCGGGTATAGCTCGCGATTGGGGAAGTAGAATAGACTCGATAGATTAGATGGAGGGGAGAGTGTTGAGATGCTGAATGCATCAGTTCAAAAGGTCAGGAAAGACGGTCCCTAGTGAAGCTCTCCCAAGAACAAATACAGAAGCATTTCTTTTTGCGCAGCATTTGTGGCACATGACGGGCGGGTACTTGAAACGCGCGGCAGCAGCTCTTCTTGACTTTTCAGGAGTTTTTTTTTACAAAACGAAAGAAAATTCTTTCATTTTTTTTGTTCTCATTGTGACGAGGGTTCCAACCGTGAACTATGGCCTGGAGGATAGATCACGGTTTCCGTAAAAGATTCAGTCAGGCAGTTGAGTGCGTGAAAGTATTGAGGAGGATTTAACGATTAAGGCGAGGCCGAAGGAGAAGAAACTCATTTGTTTGGAGAGATAGGCGGACCTCCTAAGGGTGCAGACCGACACGTAATTCGCATCAAAGGATACGCTTCCGACGATCTAGCATGGCCTTCCCCGTGGCGCTATTGGCGCGCGAGCTGCGCAGAGCTCCCCCCCCCCTTTCCCCGAGGGTTGACGGACTACTTGAACCCGGTCCTTTAAGCCGCCTCAGATCCATCTCTCGTCTGCGCTCTCTCACCTTATCAGCGGCTCATGACCATTGTGATCACACACATTCAAACTTTTGCCACACTGTAGTTGGCTCACCCACCTCGAAGTCCCTCCTCCTACAAGGCTTAGTCCTAGGGCTCTCACCTCCCTTCCCTGGGATTTGGAGCCGAGCCAGGCGCCGTTCTCTAACTGTCTGTGCCCTCCGCCATTCGTGGCAGGACCATGGAAGAAGTTCAAGTAGTCCGTAAAGCTCCCCGACCACCCTCGCTGTCTCAGCCTCTAGCCGTTTAGCACAGAGAGCGTTAGCGTTGAAGAGGTGAACAATTATGAGAGTCGCACCAATGAGGAAATCAAAGGGGAAGGAGGGGTCCCATTTTTGGGTTCTACGCCGTTTTCTCGGTTTTTTCTTCTTCTTTTTTGCATCATTGACCACCTCTAACGTAATTTACAATGGGCTAGCTTTTTATCGTGAAATCCGCCTAGAAAATGGGAACGATATGCTCCACTAGAAGCGGTAGCCAGGCGGCAAATGAAACAGAGGTTACAACTCTTGCGGCTCAAGGTAGAGGTGAGGCTGCAAAACTTGAAACCGCACCGCCAAATCACCCTTACCTACAAGTGGTATTATGCGATTTCAGCGTGGTTATGATTCAGTTCTAATTACAGAAGCACGTTCTGTACATATTAAGCGATCGCACGTTGTAATCTTGCCCTTTTCGGTTTTTTATCAGCGTGTCTTCATCCAGAAAGCCCTTTCTATGTCGCGAACTCGCCCAAATTCAACAGGCAAATAAGGGTCCCATGAAATGCATTTTTGACGAAACTTTTTTTTTCTTTTTTTGCCAACGGCGCAGCACTGCGGACGCAGCACGTTACGGCCTGAGGAAAGCGTTCATATCAACAAACTTTATTAAGGCAAAACGAGCATGCAGTATGTTCTCGATGAAACAAGAATTCAACAATCTCCTCTCAAGAAAAAAAGAATTTCTGGCTCGACAACGACGTTGCTCACTGCTAATCGACCCGCTGAAAACAGCTGATAATCCCCTAATACCAGAGTAAGTGGATATGGTTTTCTTCAAAAGAATAGTCACTACAAGGCGATTTGAACGTTAGAAAAGTGAGCCCTCACTTCTCAATTGGGTAACTCGAACGTGAGAAATTGCGGGTTGTGCCGACTTACAGGGGTAGAGACGAGTGGAAAGAGGCGTTGCGGTCCATAGGGAGAGGCTTCATTCTGGATTTCACAAGATCTATGTGATGCCTACCGTCCCTTCCCC